GGGGGGGGCGCATGCGCGGTCCCGGAGCCGTCCGGAGATGCAGTGCGCATGCGCAGTTTCGGGGACAAGGCAATGCGCAGGCGCGGTCCCGGGAGCTGTCCGGAGCGGCAGTGCGCATGCGCGGCGGGGCACAGGGACGGCGATGGCGGACGAGGCGGCGGTGCGGGAGCAGGCGGAGGTGGTGCGGCGGCTGAAGCAGAACAAGGCCGAGCCCGACGAGGTGCGGCTGCGTTCTGAGGGGAGGGGTCCGGCGTGTGCGGGGCTCGCCGGGTTCATCGAGCTCACCGAGCCTTTCTTTCCCTCGCAGATCGCCAAGGAGGTGGCGAAGCTGCTGGAGATGAAGGCGCAGCTGGGCGGAGATGAGGGGAAGCACAAGTTCGTTCTCAAGACCCCCAAGGTGAGCTCCGCCGGGTGCCGTGCCGCTCCTCCTCGCTGTCCCGAGCTGCTCGGAGCACGTGGAGATGCGGGCAGCGGTCATAACGCTCAGTGCAGCTCTGCCCGGCTGCAGGCGTTGCTTTGTGCCGTTCCAGGAGCCTTCCCTGCGCGGCAGCCTGTCAGGATGCCTCCGGCTGCTGGGAATACGATTTGTGCTGGAGCTTCTTTGTTTCTTTGTATTTCAGTGCTAGCAGCTGACTTGAAAGACACTGCTTTGGTGCTGAGGCGTGGAGATGGTTGTGGATACCATGAGTACAGGTTGCTCCTGTGTAAAAACCATCACTTAATGCCCGTGACTTAAAGGATGTGCTTCAGGACAGCCTCCCTTGTCCATTCCCTTGTTTTAGTAAACACTAACTGTGGTGCGGGGCCTGGGAAGAGAAAGGTCTCACTATTCAAATATGCAGAATGAGGATTTTGTGGCTCTCTGAGTGTCAGGAGAAGTGGTTTGTGTTCCCAGCCTGTCCCAGCTGCGCCAGTGCACTGCTGCAAGCTCCCCCATTGCTGCACCGCCCCTGGGTGGGGAGCTCCTGCTGTCTGCCTCTGCTGATTGTCAGGCCCTTGAAAATGAAAGGAACAGTTAATTGACAGTGAGTTACGTGTGCCTGTGAACCTAAAGGTTTTCACTGCCATAATTCAGTGACTCCTAACAGTGGGGAGTAGTAAAAAGGGACCCATACTGGTGAATTTAATGATATCAAATTGTCAAAATACGGGCCTGATCCTTCTGGCTGTTTAAGCAATGGATTGTTTGCATCACTTCTCACATCTGTCTGCCACTACGTACTTCTAACCTAACGTGCTCTTTGCTTTTCTTTCCCTCACCTCGTCCCAGGGCACACGGGACTATGGCCCCAAGCAAATGGCCATTCGTGAGAGAGTCTTCAGTGCTATCATCACCTGCTTCAAGCGCCATGGAGCAGAAGTCATTGACACACCAGTGTTTGAGCTGAAGGTCAGTGAGAGTGCAACACATCAGCTGAGCTGATGGGGACCTTGCACTTGGAAGCCACTCTTTATGGCTGAGTGTTCTCCTTCCATCTTCCGGGTGTTCTCCCTTTCTCTTTATTCTCTGTGCTCTAGGGTTCATCACTTGACACTGAAGATGCTGTTTGTTCGTGTGTCTTTTTTTTTTGTTTTTGTAGGAGACGCTGACGGGGAAATATGGAGAGGACTCGAAGCTTATCTATGATTTGAAAGATCAAGGAGGAGAGCTGCTGTCCCTGCGCTATGACCTAACTGTATCCTGCAACAGCCAGTGCTGAGGGGTTTTGTTATCTTTGCTGCCCTCCTTCTGTGGCAGCGCTGCCCAGAGCGGCAGGGAGGAGGAGGGTGGGAGGTCAAATCTTTGGTATTGACCCCCTCCAGGCAGGGAGAATGTGAAAAGGTAACGTGGTACAGTGGGTGCAGAAGTGCTGTTTGGTTATTTACGCTGCCTGTTGCTTAAATTAGTCAAAATAATGCTGGTAGGTAGAGAGAAGGAAGATCTCTGCTGAGTGGAGTTCTTTCTACAGCAGGGTATCCAGACCAGGAGAGGTCTAACCTAAGGCAGCACTGAAAGGTGCCCATTAGGTCGGTGTGGCAGGATGTGTGGGCTGTATCTGGGGTGTTTGTGGAGATCTTGAGGAGCTGCGGCTGGTCCAGCATCTCTTAGCTGTTGCTTTGACCAAAGGTGTGTGCCACGTGTGGTGCCATGTGCCTGTGCTGGGGAGATAGCGAGGCTACAACGCTGCCCGTGACTGATAGCTGGGTGATCCCTCCTTCCCATCCTTAACCCTGTGGTCGCAGGTGCCCTTCGCTCGCTACTTGGCAATGAACAAAATCACCAACATCAAGCGCTACCACATCGCGAAGGTGTACAGGAGGGACAACCCGGCCATGACCAGGGGCCGCTACAGGGAGTTCTACCAGTGTGTGAGTGTGGCCAGCTGCAGTGCTGGAGGCTGGGCAGTGGTGGTGGGGATGTAGGACTGTGGCTGTTCTCCCGCAGCCACCTTCCCTGCGGCTCTGGGAAGCTCTTCTTCTCCATCGTGTTCCCCTTTGGGTTTGTAAAGCAGCTCAAGAGTGGGAGAGGCTGAGATCGTTGGCTGTAGCACAGAGCAGTGCCTTGCCAGGGCTCTGAGCCATTGTGACCTCTGGGTACGGGTGGTGTTTTGCACTGTGGAGGGCGGCAGCTCCTTGCTCCATCTCACAGTGCTTGCCAGTCTGGTTGAGGGGAAGAATTCCCTTGGGATCCCAAATCTGGTTCGCATCTTGCTCACACGCTCGGCTGTTCAGCTCTTGCTAGATGAGTGACTTAGCCACAGCACCCATTGCTTCCATCCCATGCTTAGTCCGTTCTATTTCAAAGTAAGGAAAAACCCAGAGGCCAAATTACAGAACAAAGAAAGCAATTTCCTTTGTGACTTTCCCAGACAAGTGTGGTAGCCCTGAGGAATGGATTTGTTCCACTGTGCTAACACCACTCCAAGGGCTCTGTGCTACAAGTAAACTTAAGTGAGAATATTTCTCTTTCCTCATGCAATTCCTGATGATACCTTCCAGCTTCTGACCTTGGTGGATTTCCTTTTTCAGACAACTTGGGGTATTTCCAAGGTCTCATTTGTAGGCTAACTGGGGAGTCTTCTTGCATCCGGGCAAAACTTGTGTTTGACAGTTCACTTTTCCTCGTGCCAGTGCAGTTCTTCAAGAGGTGGTATCCTGTTTAAATGGGTGTCCCTACATACTGCTTTCTTCCCTTTCCCAAATGAGCATTTTGGAAATGTTTAGAGCAGTCTTCCTCTCCTAGCCTAGGTGGGTGAAGCTGTTACCTGCTCTCCCTGGAGGTGCTTTGCTTTGCTGCTCCCTGGTACCCAGTGTGCCTTGTAGCTCTTTTCTGCATCTTTATTAAGTGTGATTGAGCAGCCCTTGGATATTTGTGTGTGGTTTCTTTTTTCCCCAATGTCCTGCCCAGCTTCCATGGAGATTGCATCATCCTTCCTCACGTTCAGCTATCAGAGAACTGACTGATGCAATCACAATTCTTTCCTTCTCCATTGTCCCATTTTATTTTGGAAGCTCGGTGAAACTGCACTGATATTTACTCACCATTCAGTCCCATGTCCCATGTTCTTTAACTCAAAATCTGATAAAAAACTGTGTTTGTCGATTTGTAAATGGGAGGTGAACAGAATGTCTTTCCTGTTTTCCTACCACGGGGCATTGAAACGTCTTGCTGTTAAGCTGTAGCTGTGCATACTGGTGCTTTTTCTGCCAATCCATGGTGGAGGCCACTCAGAGTTTTTGATTTCATTTTCTGTCTTTGCAGCTGAAACTTTAGTTTTATGTCAGTTGAGATCACTCCTGCTGTCTTATTCCCCCTGTGTGCCTTACCAGTATCTTGATTTGCTTGAAGGGGAAAATAAAAAAGAACATTTTGAGGACCAAGATCTCCTTTCCTTTCTGATTCCTTTGTTTGGTTTATTTGTTCCTGATGCTCTCTCTGTCTTTGTTGTTGTTTTCCGCCCTGTTTTTGCTGCCTTTTGTAAACAAAGTGCTTTTAACAGCAGGGTGGAAGCTGTGGCTGCAGCCATACCAGCAGTGCTGAAGTCCTCTCTGCCTGTTCTTGTGCCTCAGGATTTTGACATCGCGGGGCAGTTTGACCCGATGATTCCAGATGCTGAGTGCCTGAAGATAGTGCACGAGATCCTGAGTGACCTGCAGCTCGGGGACTTCCTCATTAAGGTGAGGCCAGGACTGGGATCCTCAGGCAGGTGCCTTTGGGCCACAGTGGGAAGCAGCCATGGTTGTACTGGGTGGTTGTAGCACCTGCCCGCTGAGGCCAGATCCAGAGCACTTGTCATCTTGCCTCTCTGCCCTCCTGTGGTGTGTGTGCTGAAAGGCTGTGCTTCATCTCAGGACCTCTAAGGTGGGAATGCGAGGAGGTCTCCTGAGGCCATAATTAGCAGAGTTCTCTGTGGCATCTGCCATGGTCGCCTGCAAAACATCCAGCAGTCAAGAAAAAAGCTGACTCTTACATTCACTGCCTGCAGTTAAATACAATCTCCAGCCCAGGGTTCCTGTCCTTGTCACAGCTATCTCGGTCCCTTTAGGAGGGATTTCTCCTATGTGCCATGAGCAAACTCCTGCCTCCCATCAACTCCTTCCCAGCACTGAGGCCCCTTCCAGAGGAAGAGCAGTGCTCTAATGGGGATTAGGCTGATTGCCATGTGCTTCAAAACACCTCTCTTACCCTGGTGTGGCAGCACATGGTGCTCAGCTGGGATGGGAAGGCTGTAGGAAAGCAGTGAGTAGGAGGGCCTGGTGTGTAGGAGGTCAGCAGGGTTGCTGTGCTATTCATGGAAAACAGTGTGGGCTGGGTGCTGCACCCTGAGCTGCCAGCCTTGCCCTGTGCTCGGTTACTTGCCCAGCGACCTGTCAGAGATGAGCTGTGCTTAGGAACTGCCTCTCCAGATCCAGTGCAGCT